GTTTATTTTGCAGGAAAATGACTACCTCAGAACTGTTTTTATGGGATTCCCGGGTCTTTGGAAGCTTGCCTTTACTGCTGCACATGTTGGGCAGACCTTGAGAACTGTGCTTTGCAGTTACAGGGGCCAAAACAAAGATGGGGGAGGAAAAAGGCCCAAGTTTCCAGTGAACAGACTGTTATCTGGCCACAGCTCACCTAAGTGCCTACAGTTCAGGGTTACAGGATCAGTGTTGTTGAAGGCTCTTTCTAGAACCAGTCTGCACCGTTTTCTAGAGATTTCAGTCTGCAGGTTTTTTGCCTCTTACCCATTGCTACAGTGTACAAATTCCTGCAGTGTCTTTTTTTTTTTTTTTTTTTTCTCCTAAAAAAGTAGCAGCAGCTTGTTCTGTTTAGTGATTATTATTTAAATGTTAAATTGACACAGTCTGGCTTTAGGACTGTATAGAGTATCTAGTTTCTCACGATGGGCAGATGTGACATTCCATATTCTTATTAAATAGTTTAAAAAAAAAAATGAGGAGGACATAAAACATGTCTGTTCAATTTTTTTAATCTTTTGGGGATTTTGATGGTAAAAATAATTTTTATTATTGCTTTTGAATACTTGTGTAGCCAGTTAAGTAAGGTTGCTTACATTTTCTTTTATTTATGTTTTTGCTTTTCCCTGAAAAAATACTAATTTAATTTGTTACTGAATTTTAAAGAGAACAAAGAGCAATTTTGTGGAAGGATCTGCCTTGTACTGATTAAGACTTTAAGGCATAAATCTTTAAGCCTCCTACTCTAAAATTCAAAAATAGAATACAGTAAATAGTTTGAAGGAATCTGAAAATACTCATTTTTAGTGAGCAGCTGGCTCACAGTGAATGTGGTGGTCAACATTTATGCTTATATATAGCTTGATACTTTGAGTTTGTTTTTCCATCTGAAGCGTTTATGAAGGTCGCGCAAAGTAGGTTCTGTGTTTTAAAAGATGTTTAATACTGAATCATCAAATAACAGGTTGAATAATTTTTTTTTTTTTCAGGCTGATGACAGCAAAACATCAGTGAGGGATCGATTTAATGCAAGACAGTTTATGTCATGGTTACAGGACGTTGATGATAAGTTTGACAAATTAAAGGTACACTTCTTTGTCTTTCCACTTTAAAAACAAAAAAAACAAACACCAACCAACCAACCAAACAAGAAACCCACCAAAACTCTCTAATGTTACTATTGTTACTGTGAAGATAAGATGACTAAATAGTAGGTTTGTGTGCAGTGTCATAGGATATTGTAGAGGTTTTAAAGGCAACATAAAGGAGGGTCTAGCATTATAAAAATCTGACCTTTGTTGCTATATACTATAATGGAATAACCTACAAATAGATAAATATGTAGTGGGAAAATTTCTTACTATCACCAGAGAGGCTCCTAGATATTTTTTTATTTTCAAACTTGTTGCAGTATTTTTTCAAATATTGAAATAACTTCTTTCTCAATTTTAAAATAGACGTGCCTTTTGATGAGGCAGCAGCATGAAGCAGCAGCTTTAAATGCAGTACAGAGGCTGGAGTGGCAGCTTAAACTACAAGAACTTGATCCTGCTACTTACAAATCCATCAGCATTTATGAAATTCAGGAGTTTTATGTTCCACTTGTTGATGTTAATGATGACTTTGAATTGACGCCAATATGACAGCTAGCATCTCCTGGCTCACCCTTTCCTTTGGACAACTGGAGATTTGAGGTGCAGTGATACACAGAGGTATTTTTCTTTTAAGGCAGAGCACTTAATTCTGTGGAATACTACCTTTCTCAATAATTCAGGTGTTCCTTCGGAGAAGTGTGGCATGGGCTCTTGTTCAAGCACAGAAGATGGATGCTAATTTTAAAGTCAGTTTCCCAGTAACTACCATTATCTGTATTTTAAAATTGCCTGTAGCTTTAGAACTTATTGCTGAAAAAAATGACGAAACATGGTGAGTTAACAGCGCTGGAAGCTGTTAATAACTAAAACAGCCACCAAAAAGAAATGATACTCAAAATCTGCTATAAAGCTTTGTATAATGAAGCTTCAGTACAGTTGAACTCCCACAGAAAAATGATGAAAAAGCCTGTGGAAGAAAATGTAAGACTTGGAGGAAAATAGTCTATTAATCTTATTATATTTTGTAAATTACTGTACAGTTTTCTTTTTGGAAAAAGATGTAATATTGTTTTCATTTTTAAATAATTTATTTTATACATATTGTGAAAATGTAAATAGTCTTGTAATTAATGTTCAAACTTGTATAAAATAGATATTTTAACTGTAAAACTGTTTTTGTCTACTGTTTTATTGGACCAAAGTTGTAGTTTTTATTAAGTGTAGTGTGTTCCTGGTTGGCAGTTCCTTTTTGTATGGCATGTGTTTGATTTAGCTGCTTGTTTCATCACCATAACTGTAAAAGAATTGAAACTGAACTGTATTGCATGCTTCACAGAACTCTTGACTCCTTTACTTCAATAACTGATACCTAAACAACTGTAATATTTACAAAATCATATTTCATATTAGTCTGCTGTTGTAATGCCATACCTATGACTTACTATACTGAAAATATTTTTGTGTAAAACAAACCCTTTTGCTCTTATATGGTGGTCTCGTAATAGAGCCTATTTTTTCCAACAAAATGCCTTTGAATGAAAATTCTTAAATTGTATATTGTCTATTTTAATATTAATCTATGGAAGGATATGTAAATAATTGTAAATATAATGTTTAATAAATTTTATTGGTCATGTTATTAGTTGGAATTTCTTAATATAGTAACACCAGGTAGATCAAATCTTAGCATTCCTGAAATATGTAAGGAGGCTTAACGAAAAACTTTAAAAAATTCCCATGTTGTGAAATTTAATGCTTTTTTATTCTTGGTACTGTTAATGAGCAGACAGTTAATTATTTATTAGTAGGAGGTTACATATATTCATGAAAAAGATTTGTTACCCTCTAGTCCATAAATTATTCAAGGATGCTTGGGATCTGGTGTCTGTGAAACTACTTTTGAAAGAAATGGGGCTTAGGCAAGAGACCTGGTTACCTGGAAGAGAGATTTAAAGTACTTGATTTGAACTGATTTTTAATTACTAGGTGAACTATTACAGAGTAGTTATGCTTGTCTGAATGCCCGGGGTGCCTTTCTTGTGGTGGAGAGCAAACGGGCATTGAACAAGAGACGGTGTGGACAGCAGGCTCCTTCCTGTGTGCACATCACTGCTAGTTCCAATCAAGAATAAAGTAATAGTAATGCAAGCGTAGTAACTTTTTTTTTCCACTTTTAATTTGTTAGGTACCTGTGGGAGGAGAAGTTGTTCCTGCTTTTATGTAGTAACATCTTCCTGACATCACTCAGAATTCAAGATGTACTGGGGAAAATGCAAATGTGATATTCTTATGAAAGTAAAATATTCTTCTGAAAGTAGCTGTAGGATTTTAAAATCATATAGAAATCTGTATTACCTGCTTAAAAAGACAAGGGGGAAAATGGATAAAGCTGCATAGTGTTAAAAACTAGTAAGTGGGAGTTTCAGCAGATAGTTTGAATAATAGAAAGTAGCATGCTTATCTAGAAGTGGGAGAACTTAATAGAGACCTTTTGAAGTATGGGATTTGGGAGCATTTTGTAACCAGCTGAAAAGATCAACTGGGTTGCGGGAGCGTTGGCTGTGTTAGAAGCGGGTGGCGAAAGTACTTGGGGTGGGGGAGAAGAACTGGGCGGGTTTATAGCTGGAGCTCGGCGCGGTTGTGCAGCGGTGCCTGGGCGCCTGCCCGGGGCGGGCCCGGGTGTCGGGCGGCGGGAGCAGGGCCGCGTGGGGTGCCGCGGCAGTTCTGTGCCCCACTTGGCCGCAGGAACGGCCCCGAGCCTCTCACAAGGCTTGGGGGGGGCGGTGGAGGTTGGGGTGTTTTTACTGTAAAACAAACAAAGTGTGTCCTCTGGAAGTATCAGCAGGAACATTTTTGTGATACTTTCAAAATATTTTGGCAGTATCCTATCTTATAAGGAGATCAGAAGACTGATGTTTCTCAGGGTTAGCCTGTGTCTTCTTTACAAGCAGAGATGATTTCCTATTATCAGGGTCTGTGAAACACATTTTTGTGGTTTGGTGTTTTTTTTTTTTCCAAGTGCTACAGCCTAGTAAAAATTTAGTTGCTCAAGGAAAGGGGACTGTCCAACTGTTTCAGTCCCTTAGACAATGCTCTCCTGTCTTCTCCGATCTGAATCCAGGCTTTGGTCTAGTTGTGCCCTTTTTTTCCCACCTTACTCTGTGGGATGATACCTAGTGTGTTCTTTAAGCACACCCTGCAGCGGGTTTCCCTCAACAAAGTGATGCGAGTTGGGAGAGATGAGCCGAGGAACAGCAACACCGTGTGGGAGCGAAGGCCGAGTGTCCCCGGGGAAGCCCGAGGGGCTGCTCCGGGCACCCAGCCGCCTTCCTCCCCCGCGTTTCTTCCAAGGACCAAACTCGGTACCTTGGTCCTTCGGAGCTTTGGGAGCCAAACCCACCCAGCAGCGTTTTTGAGAGCCTGAGGGAGGCTGCCCGAATACCCGGCACCCCCCCCCCCCCCCGCCCCGGGCTGGCCGCCGCTCTTCCCGCGCCACCTGCTCGGCGGCCCGCAGCCCCCCCCGCCGCCGGCTCTGCCTGGGGACAGCTCTCGCCAACTCCTCGCAAGGAGAAAACCCTTCCGCCCCTGGGCTGACTTCTCTTCCCCACAAGACCGCCGAGTTTTCCCCTGCTCGCCCGCGGGCGGGAAAGGGGACGTTCAGCAGCGGACCCCAGAAGCAGCGTCGTCGTCCCGTTCCCCCCGCAAAAGGCAGGCTTCCCCGCCTTGCCCCTCCGCGCCCGTCCCGCTAGGCACGGCGGAGCGCGGAGCACGGCGGCCCCCCCCCTCCCCGCCACGCCGCTCCGCTCCGCGCAGCCGCCGCCCGCCGGGGCGGAGGGTCCCGGGGCGCGCTGCCGGCGGCGGGGGGAGGGTCCTGGCGCCTGACGGTGCCCCGAGGCGGGGCGATGCGAGGCCGCGCCGCCGCCTCCGCGCTGCCTGCGGCCGAGGGGGGAGCAGCGGGCCGAGGCGTGCGGTTGCCGCCGCCGCCTCCTCCTCCGGAGCAGCGAGAGCCGCCGGCGGGAGCGGAGGGTGCCCGGCCCGCGGCGCCGTCCGGTGAGCCAGCCGCCAGCGGAGCGTTGGGGGCGCGGAGGGAGAGGGGCGGGCGGGGGCGCCGGCGGGATGGAGTCGGTGGCTGGGAAGGAGGAGGAGGAGGAGGAGGAGGAGGAGGAGGAGGAGGAGAAGGTGGCGGGGCCGCGGCTGCTTCTTTGTGGAAAGAAAGTTTCGGTGCGGCTCGGCGCAGCCGCCCCGCTGCCCGCCGGAGGAGGAGGAGGAGGCCGGGCCCCCCGCTGCCGGGAGGGGCGGCTTTGGGCAGCGATCCCCGTGCGGGGCCCCGCCTGCCCCGGGCCGCTTCGGCGGGGGGGGGGGGTGCGCTCGCTGCCTGTCACCGGCCTCCCGGGCCCCTGGCAGTGCCATCTTTGGGGCCCGGGCCTCCCGGGAGGCGCGGCGGGGAGGGGGGAGCCGAGCCGAGAGCGGGTTGATGGGCCGGAGGGGGTTTTGGGGGTCTTTCCCGTCCCGGGTGCGAGCCCGGCGGTGCGGGAGAGCGATGCTGAGCCGGGGCAGGGGGGAGCCGGTGCCTCCGGGGCGGGCTGCAGGAGCGGGGGGGACGGGACACGGCGGATAAAAGTCTGGGGAAGAAGCGGTCGGTGAAGGGAAAATAGAGCGACGGGGGGAGCCCGGGGAAGCGGCGTAGGTGCGCGGTCAGCCCGGGGTGCTGGTGGAAACGGCGTCGCTCCGGCTCCGCTTCTCGGCAGCCTGTTCCGCGGGAGCCGGAGGCAGCCCGCCGTGGGAGCGGCGCGGCGCGAAAACGCGCCGGGGATCGCCCACGGAGCCCGGCGTGGGACTGGCCGTGGCTCCTCCGGCGGCCTGCAGCGGCTGGAGCGACTGTAGTTGAAGGGAAACTTTCTTCGCTCCGGGTAGCGGAGAGGGTTAGCGGTGACCCCCCCCCCCCCCACCTCTTTTGAGGGAAAATCTCCGGTCTTCTCCATGCGTGCCCCTGGGCCTTGCGGGGGGTCCCTCCCCATCCTGCGTGGGTACGGATGGCAGTGCGCCCAGCACAGAGAGATTCAGAAGCATTTAATGACCGTTGTGAGAAAGGCTAATCCAAGACAGGCTTTAAATGTCCAGATCGTGCCCTATTTACATGTTGGCTTGTTTTTCTGCTTTTTTTTTTTTTTTTTTTTTAATCTTCGGATATATTGATAATTGAGGGGTGGGTGTTCTGGAGTTCATAAAGCAGAAGAACAATTCTAAATACAGAAAGACAGAAACCCAGTGCCCCATTAGCATTTTTTTCCCCTCTTATGAAAACAATACAGTCTCACTGTAAGCTTGCCCAAACATGGGCTGCCTTTTATTATATATTGGTACGGTGCCTAGTGCAGTAGGGTCCTTTTTTGAGTGGGTTCACATGCGAAGCACAAGTAAGAGCTGACTGGCACGCTGCTCACTGTGCTGTATTTGTAACAAACACCGCCTGCCGAGAAGCAGGGTTTTCACAAATGGGAGAAGGTGGAATGCTTTGAACAAAAACCCACTTCTGTCTGTTTGAAGTAGCAGATGCTCGTCTCTGGTTGACTTCAGTCACTGGCGTGGCTCTTGAAAGCTATCATCGTTCAAAGTTTCCCATACTTTTTTTTTTTTTTTTTTGTTTCCTTAAATGTTGGTGTCTGTACTTTTTAAAAAAGAAGCTAACAACTTTGTGATTGAATTGAAAGCCTGTGTGACATCTGACTGTCGGTATGAAAACAACTGTCTGTCTCATTAAAGAGGATACGGCAACTTACCTTACATATCCTAAAAGGTTGCTGTATAGCATTGGTTCTAGACACCTGTGTGTACCTTTAGCCCGAGGAGATACTACACAAAACCTCTCTGTCTGCTTTATCCGTTTATGGAATTACGTCTTCATTGGTGGGTTTTCTCTTCTGGGGCATTTTTTTATCATCACTGCTTATAGGGTATCATATTTGATATTGCAAACTCAAGATTGTTCACCTTAAGTTTATTGAAGGTTTAATCCAAAGGTGCAATAGCAGAGAGTTTCAAACAAACAGGTTAGCCGGGGGAGGAGAAGAGTTGAGTTTGTTGTTAAGCACCCCAACTTGACCTCCCTTCCCCTGCCTCCCCCCCCCCCCCCCCCCCCCGAAAAAAAATATATTATTCTTTATTGAAGGAGTTGCAAGGGGGAAGGGAAGTAGGGTTTAACTTGTGTTCGAATAGCCTTTTCAGTTGCTGTTTTTAATTTCAGTGCTGGTTGAAGTACTTGTGAAAATTGCTCACCTGCAGGAAACATGAGGTCGCAGTACGTCACGGCGCCCATGGTCACTGTCCTTCTGGTCCTGCTGTGGATCCAGTCGTCAATGGGCTGCAACAAGGCTCTCTGTGCTAGTGATGTCAGTAAATGCCTGATACAGGTATGAGTCCCGTTTCCTTTATTTGCTTTTAAGTGTTTAAGAAAAAGTTCTGAAACTGTGACTGGAAAAGATCCAGTGATACAAATAACTGGTATTTTATGTTAAATAGTGTCTTTTTAAACAAGTTAATGTTGTCTCTTGCACATATAAATGCAGATTAACAACCATTTTATAGCTAATATTAAGTGCATGTGTATATGGGCATGCTTCTCTTTTTAACAAAAACATTTTCAAGTCAAGGATTATGATTGCTGGGTTATTGTTAGAAACCACTACCAGTCACGCTGTTAGTTTTCAGTCTCTTTATTAGTGAACAAGCAGCAATTTAAAACGGACATTTTATTAGAAAGTTTCTGTGGGCAACAATTTATTCTTTTTAAAAGGTATCTGCAATACGAGAAGTTCAGATGTGCTTACAGCATTCCCCTGTCTGTCTGAGATGTTCCCCTTACCTGTTCCCCTTAACTTGCAGTCTGTCCCAGCCCAGGCAGAGGGTCGTTAGTTGACGCCTGATGCTCTCCATAATATCAGGTTTGTACAGTCAATTAAAAGATGCTTAAAATCTCACTTGAGAGAACTAACATAAGTAGGGACCTGACCTGAGGTGCAGTTGGCAAAGCTTTTTGATTCGGAGGGACCTACGGCTTCTAATGGTAATGATCAAACTCTGAAAGCATGCAGGTCCACCTAAAAACCAACCAAACAAATAGTTACGAATTGAACTGGTAGGAAATGGATGTTAAACTCAAATTCAGATGCTGCTCTTGCCTCACTGTGTGTCTGTCAGCAGTGAAAGAAACAGACTAGGTTGCTGCTCTTATAGCAGGAGTTAAGAGGTTCAGTGCGCAGCAGAAAAGTGCCTTTTCTAGCAAAATTGTAAGCAGTTCTGGTAACTACCAGGTATTTATCTACTAATGGTGTATTGAGCACGCTTCTTGACGCTTTATTGAAAAAAAGAGCCTTCATGTGGTCCGTTGCAGCTTCCTTAAAAGAAACTGTTTCTTCCTGCCTCTTTGTAGACTGGAAATAAATAGCAGACAGCACAGGTATCATGCCAGTAGTGTGCTCATATGCTTACTGTAGACGTATGATCACAGTCTGAAAAGTGTTGCAGAAGTGGCATGAAGCACTCCCATGTTTACTTAATTTCCCTGGCTTCCATATAAAATTTGTCTGGTTTACAAATAAAAACACTTGCCAGACTTGCAGATCCATCCTGTGGAATGAAGGCTGACGGCAGGCTGAACTATCTTCTTTCTGTCTTCTGCACTACCATTAATTTAACAAAAAAAAAAGGCAAACCGAAAAAAAAAAAAAAGGAAAAAAAAGAAATTGCTGCTTCTCTTAGCCCCACCATGGTGTGTGGAGTTGTTAAATACGAGAGCAAGAGGCTTTTGACTTTTACCTTTTCAAAGACAATGCCAGTGTTTTTGCTGGTAAGTTGGAGATTGTGCACTGTGACAAATTGATGCACTTACAAGTTTCTTCTGTTGTGTTTTTTAACATCACCTCTATCTAGCCTTGGAACCTTTAAAAAATAAGATGCTAGTTCTGGCATTGGATGTACAAGGCACCTAAATAGTGAGTACAGTGGTACAGATTTGTTGATTCAGGGGAAAACTGTTGGCCCAGATGAAGGGGAAAACAGGGAAGATGCATTGTCATCTTTTCCTGTGCCACTGATGGAGTCCACCATCGCTGAAAGCACAGGCATCTCCTTCTCAAGTAATCGCTTACCTTTTCTTGAGTCAGGCTTGAGACACCCAGCATTTAAACTTTATTTTTATGAGCTAGTCTGAATAGAGTACAGCCCAGGAGAAGTGGAGCTAATGCTGCTGGAGTCCTTCCTCGGCTGGGAAGCAGGCAGCTGAGGTTCAGTGCTACACAGAGGTGGCTCACACGACTGTGAGTTACTGGGGTTATGTTGGCATCTTTGTGGCGACACAGCCCTCTGCGTGCAGAGGACCCCTATATTGCTTTACGTGTTGTAGGTGTATTTTCTCTTACTTTGTACAGGTGGTTGGAATCCCTTTTTAAAGCATTTCCCTGAGATCAAAATCATATGCAGCTCTCAGACCCTAAAGTAACCCAGGCCATGTGAATTGTGTACAATTACGGGGGAATGCCGCTGTTCATTTTCACTGTCTGGCTGCTCTCTTCCCGCAAACAGGCCTGACATACCAGTCAGTATTCATTCTTTACAGAAGAACAGATCAGGTCAGACTAGTCTGATTGTGGATATGAAAACTCCCAAAGCTTTGACTTAAAGCAATTGTCATATTTCTTCTTTGCTTTTTTTTTTTTTTTTTCAATTTTCAGTGCTGTTGTGGCAGAAGCACCACATTAGTATGTGAAATGCATGTTATTTCTTGGGTAGGTATGCAAGTAGAGTATATCCATGTATTTTTTTTCCCCTCAGCTCTTCTGGAGAAATCTGAACTTAAAAATAAAATACTATGTTGAGTGAGTTTGCTTGACTATTGCATGACATTTTTTCCTAACCTATTTTTATAACTATTCTAGTTCGGCAAAATCCGTGGCTTGAAACCAATATAAAGTCACTTGGAGACAACTGGGGGAGCAAACAGAATGTGAATGTTTGTCATCTGCATCTGCGTGCAGAAAGTGAGGCTGCCTGTCTTAGACACACGATGAGACGAAAGACCTGCTCTCTCAAAAAGCATACGGTTAAGATAAATATTTTTGCCGGCATGGCTAGAAGTCAGTACAGTCATTACTGCCACTCCTTCGGAGCTGCTCTGCTTAAGGGTGGTCCCTGCATAAATATTTATTTTGTTAGATCCAGAACAGAGCATGAGATCAACAACCCTCATGCATTCAGCTTTCCTTTTACATCTTGAGGCTCTAGCTTCATTGGTGCTCTCATAGTCTACTTGCTGTTTTTCTGTAAGCAAAGACCTGTAAGAAAATAGCTCAAAGCATCTCTCTGCGCAAGCTTAGCCTTCGCAAAAGAACTTTGTGGCTTCCTGTAGTTGTTGAAGGAGTTGCAGATAAGACTTAGGAGTATAGGCAGAGTGGGACCACAAAATTGGTTCCCTTGAAGGCTTTGGATGTAGCTTCTTCCCATATCTCTGGGACTGGGGCACTGAAGTCAACAACTGACTGTTGCCTTGCTTTTCAGGTAGGACACCAAGCCCTGGCTGCACATGGCATGCGTACTGCAGAATTTGTTCTAGCCCATCTGTTGTTGACTTGGACGCGTGGGTTGTTTTGATGTTTCCATGTGTGGAGGAGATGAGAAGGCCAGTTATGCTCGCTGGGCGGAGCAGAGGCGTATATTGTGTCCTTGCAACACGGAGGAAATCCTAGAAGGCAGAAACCTCTAGGATGGGACGTTCCCACAATTGTTCACAGCAAACGGGTTTGAGGCGAGTCCCAGGCTGGCTCTCGCCGTGCACAGCTACCTGCAGTTGTCAGGCTTGGGTGCTGCATCCGTGTTGTGCTGGAAGCCGAGCTTTGCTGTCTCAACTGCAACAGCTCTTTAAATGACTGCTCTGTGTAGGGAACAAACAGTGCTACAGTTCAGGCGTGGATCTCAGAGCCTTCTAAAGAGGGGTTGTTTTGCAGAGAATACAGAGCTTCCTCTCCCGAATGTGACATGTCTGAAGTCACCTTGGCTGGTGCAGTATCATTTCAATTAAAATCCTTCTTCATCTTTTCCTTTGCCTCCTGTTAATTTTGTGTACAAACTTGTCAGCTTGAAAGGATTTCCAAGATTTCTGGGCCCTGTGGTATGAAATAAATACCACTCCTTAACTTCAGGGCTTTAGCATCTAAAAATTACTTTCGGTGTGTATGTTGTAGCTGTAGTATGTAAGGCAGTTGGGTTAACAAAACAGTTCTGGCTGGTTTGCTTCCAGGAGATTTTCTGTTATTAAAGTGTTCTAGGAAAAAAAATTAGTTCTTTTTATTGCAGTTCCTCTTCCAGTTTGCAGAGATATTGCCAATGCCTTCAGGTCCTGTTTCTCACTGCACCGAGAAAATAGTCTCTGTCATCTCAAGAAAGCTTTGAAAAAATGCAGATGTTAAATACCTTGTAAAAATCTTTATTTGTTCTCTGGATCAGAAGTATCTTTATTGTACAAACATGCCTGCTTCCTATTTAACGCTGTATTTTTAGACTGAGGGGCTTATTTCTTGCCTAGCAAAATACATTCCCCGATGCACCTTCAGTAGTTCAGCTTGGGTAGTTGCCAAGTTGACTTATGAGTAATATTTTCTTCCACTGACGCCTCACCACCCCCAGCTATCAACAAGGAACATTTCTCATTCTGCCTTGCTTCACCCATGTCTCATGTAAGCATTCTTTTAAAAAGATGTATCCTGTGCAAGTATCCAATGTGGATGAGTCAGACAGAAGGACTCAAGAGCGGTTAAGGAAACCATGTACGTGCAAACACATATATGGAAAAACATACAGTTATTGCCCTGAAGAAATGGTCAGACTCTGAGGAGAGCTGAAGAACGGTGTAGAATGCTAATTAATTAGGTTGCTCTTTCTTCCTTCCTCCCCCTCCAAGTTTAAAAAAAAAAAAAATTAAACAAAACAAATGAACAAACAAACAAACAAAAAAAACCAACAAAAAAACAAACCCAAAACCTAAAAAAATTATACTACTTGTAAGTCCTTCCTTTAAAAATAAATTTGTTAAAATACTTGTAGGTATATTGATGCTATTCCAAGATAGTGCTTACACGTATAGATGCTAAGCAGAAAATTTTTTTATCATTTTGCAAGTGCGGAATTTAAGGTTACATTTAATTCTGTGAGAATACTCTTCTATAAAACTGAAACAACTTAAATTTAGTGTATTTTCTGGCTTTGATTCATACATTATATTTAATATTTTACAGAGAAATGCCTCCTCCCATGTATTCGCTTGTTGATGTTGCAATGTCTTTAATAAGTGAAGTTGTTTGCCCAGTTTTACTGTGGAAGAACAAATATATAGGATATTTTTAATTATAGTATGTGTTAATACTATTCTTTGGCCAAGGTAACAGTACTTAACTCATGGTTGTTTTTAAAGTTGCTTTATTCAGGCTTTTTATTCTCAAGGCTGACACAATCTGTTTATCAAACAGTAAGATAAATATTATAGAATGCGTCATTCATTCACATAAGTCATCTTTCTAAGTTTGTGGTGTGTCCTCTTGTGGAAAAAAATTTGTATTTTATTAATGAGCCTAATTTTCATCTTTCACTTGGAAACAGCATAGTAATAGCTGTCATTAATAAACTTTGAGGATGAAAAAGTAAAAAATCTTGGTAGTTTTCTACTCTGTAAATGAAAATTGAAGGCTTAGTAGGACTGCATATTGCAGAAATGCACGTGGGGCAGGAGTTTGTGCTCAATCACTCAGCAGGGCAAGCAGTTCACATTAAACTGTGCAGGCAACAGCATTTCTCAGAATTAAGTAGAACACACAGTCATTTGTGTATTTGGTGTCTTTGCTGGCTTCAAGAGGATTTATGGTCTGGAATGAAGTGAATGGAAAAATAACAGATCAGTGAAGTTACACTGCATTAATACACTGTAGCACGTCCGCAAGCAGGTTTGGGGGTTTGTTGGGTTTTAGTGCAGAACTGGGAGCCCTTGCCCGCCGACACGCGCTCTCCAGCCCTCTGTGGGCCCGCGCCAGCGAGGGGCCATCCCGCTGCACCTCGGCAGCCCGCGGGCGTTTGCAGTTGCCAGTGTTTGCAGAATACAGAGAGAACAGGGCTCGTACACAGTCAGGTGCATCTCTGCGCCTTGCCTGGCAGATGCGCTCCTGACATTCGGTACATAATCGCCTGTCTCCTCTACCTGATGCTTCTTAACAATAGCAAGCAAAGAGTTACTTGAAAAGTAGAATTTTGCCCCCTCGGCTTCTTCCCAAGGTGCTGCAGACTTTGCGGGGGACGTTTGTGTCTGCCAGTAAGGAGTGGTGTCCCTGCCCCAGCTGTGGTTAGCTGAGGCAGAGCCTCGGGTGGTGACTCCAGGTTTGGAGAATTTCACACCAAACCACCTTCCTGCCCTTCCGTCCCGTCCGTGTGCGTCTCCTGAGCACGCCACGGTGTGTCCCTCCCCTGCCTCTGGAGAACGGGATCAGAGAGCGGGGACGGGCGTCACCTTCTCCCCAGCCTAACGCGTAGCAGAGATTTGCCGACAGCTCTTCCAGTAAAGCCAGGGGTGGGAAGGATCCCGTGGTCAGTGTTTCCAGTAACGGGATTTTGTTTTCTCACCAGTTGTGTGTAACGTGATAGTTAGACAGACATCATCAAAACCAAATTCTTAGACAGGACAACCAAATGTGCCTTCTTGACTGTCCACGTTTTGCACTACAGCATGATTCAAGCCCGTATATTATCGTCACGTAGCCACAGTCTTCCAGCCAAACTGGAATTACTAGTACAGATTTGAGTTAGAGGGAAGGAGACCGCCTGGCTTTCATCCACGTAGACTGTTTCCATGCTGTGAGGTCCACAAGTGTATGTCTTCAGCAGGACTGTTGAACTAGTGTCTTCAGGTTTAGGTAATTTGAAGAGGAAGGTTTGTCTTCTTGTTTCTGTGCTTTTTCCATTTTTTCTAGCTTAATAATGGTTAAAAAAAAAAAATGCATATGCATACCATTTCACTTTCTAGAGGCTCCAGAAGTGTTGGAAGTATCTCAAGGCATCAGTTGCAGGGGGGGGAGAGGGAGGGAGTTGTTTTCATAATAGCAAAAATGAATCAGCTGGACCTGGGGGAGAAAAATAATGTGGTTGCTAATATTGCAAATGGAGAGCAATGTGTAACAGGCAGAGATGCACAAGATCCCACGGTCAGATGACTTAATCAAATCAGTTCCTTTTGGAATCCACAAATAGGTGTGATGGTAGACATTGTGTATCTTGAGCATGTACATGCAGCTTATAGTAACTTCCTTTTTTAGCTAAATTATAATGTACATGCACTATTTATATATAAAGAAACATTCTTCTTTGAATTTCTTGTTGTGATGGGAAAAACATTCAAAGAACTTGTAGATTCAGGCATACATAGAAGTGCACACACCTTTACCATAAATAGGATTTTTGAATGTTCTTTTGAATGCTGACTTCAGATTTGTCTTTAGAATGTCACCTTTAAAAAAAAAAAAAAAACTTGCAAAAGATCCTTTTGTAAACTAAGATTGGTTCTTTGGCTGGAAGTGTTTTACCATTTACTCACTGTTATTAGTGTACTAAGCTTTTTTAATGCTGTAATTTGAGCTGTGTCTTGAGGAAGAATTGCTCTGCTGTTGTTAGCATTTTACATCTGGGGTTGCTGCGATGTAATGAGTTTCTGTTGTTTGCAGGAGCTGTGTCAGTGCCGCCCTGGGGAGGGGAACTGTTCCTGCTGTAAGGAGTGCATGCTCTGCCTGGGCACACTTTGGGATGAGTGCTGTGACTGTGTTGGTAAGTTTGCATTTCTTTGGGATTTTCTTCTTTTTTTAAATTGCTTCCTCCTGCCACATGCTGAGCTCACAGCCTTACAATAGAAGTAAAACACTGGGACAGAATCTGTGCTTTAAACGTCTTACAGCTCATTCTGTAGGTACTGAACAAATTACTGAGGGGAACCAAGCATCTGAAGGCTGTATCTGCTCTATGGAGGCAGGGGTGGCAGTAGTCCAGATTTTGCTTGGTTAATGTCATTATAACTGACTATTAATTTTGTCTCTAAAACATAAACTCCTTTTTAAGTTGTCATCTTGAGGTAACTACGCATCACCTGCTTCATGGGGTTGGATGCTGTATGGAGTTTTCTATCTCTAAATGGTATTGACAGATACCGCATGGGGACAATTTTAGGTTTGAACTGTCTTGTGAATCCTTGGGACTGTAGTAAATATGCTTGGCCCAATGTTTTCATTGCTCATCTGTTTGTAAAAAGAGCTCTTTGTGGAGGGCAAGAGGGAGCCATACAAATTCTTACTGCAGGATTAGATGATAGTCCTAACAAGAACTGCATTACTACTAACATGTAGCATTCAGAGTGCCCAGATCTTTGCAAGTGAATGCTTAAGGGAGGATGTATTCTGGTTCTCTCTCTTGTTTTAAATGTATTGAAAGCTTTATTCTCCTGTGGTTGCTGGAAGTCTCACTCTGCTGTCATTCAAAATCCTTCTGGCTTCTATGAAAGGGATGCATCTTGACCATGTTGTGCCTGCTCTCAGCTTCTCTGGCTGGCTGGGTCTTCTCTGAATTCATAAAGGTGATTAGTGTCAAAATACTTCTTTTCAGTGCAGTCCATTGCTTCTCCAGTTCCATCATAATGTGAAAATGCTCTCTGACATCCTGCTTCTTGTTTGGTTCTGGCTAGCTTACCTTTGCTTTACTGTCTTTCAGTAAGCAGTGGAGTGGCATGGTCCTGTCCATGTGTGATTCTTCCCAATGGCATAAACTATTTTTAGCCCCTGCACCTTTGGAAGATACACATTTAGAAAGAGGCTCTAGAGATTGGTTTTTCTATTTGATCTTGGGATCCTTAAAAAGTAGAAAAAAAAATATATATACATGCACATATATGTGTATAAAATGTTTTTTCCCCATCCCCTTTGCTTTTCCAATGTCGTCTTGTTTTTTGTCATGTAATACTCAAGTATGCTGTTGTCATACTCAGTCATAGGGGTGTGGAATAGGACAGTAGACCATTATCACTGTAGAAAGCAAGGCATAGTCTGCTGATCTCCTCTAGGGAGAGGAATGGCCTACCTCTCGAGATTGTGAAGAAAAAGAGTGAAGTCCACACACAGGTGTTTTTTTTTCTAAACCTGCAGATTACTTGCTGTTCTGCTGCTCTTTCCAGTGGTGTTGTCCAGGATAGAACTTAACGAGGTTTCAGGTTCAGTTTCCCAGTACTGAGTAAACTAAAACATCTCCTGATGGTTCTGCGGGTGCCTCAGACTTTGTTTCTAGGGTATGGTCCTATTCTCCTTCTCTTCAGTGTAGGGTCATCCTTGAGGTAGCCTTATTCAAATGAGGAAACAGGAGTACGTGCCATACCCAGCTTCCTGGAGGCAGTTCTTTGTTGATACTTGAGCTGATATTTAAGTCTCTTTATAAGCTGATCATGTCTAATGTAAAAGGAGGTAGGTTGTCGTGTTTCCAGGACATGTCTGCTCTGAGGTCAGGAATTGCCTCCTACCCTCCAGCACTAACTTTTCCGATGCTCAGTTGATGCCCTGTGTTCTGTGTGGATGTTCTCTCCCTTCTCTGACAGGGAAAAAGGCACTGGAGGAGGGAGAACAAGAACAAGTTCCTCTTTCCTCTATTTTTCTAAGCTTTGTGAGTTATGCTCTTCTTGTCCCTCGTGTAAAGGCTTGTCTGCTTCCATCATTTCAATAGCCCATTTCTGCGTCTTTTCACCTATTTCAAAGCAGTAACGTAGACACATTTGTTCCTTACCAGTTGCTTATAAGTTGTTTTCTTATTTTTGTTTTAACCAAAGCTACTATTTTATAATAATTTCTATATATAAATATAATTATTATAATTAAAATACTTTTTAAAATAAGAAGAGGGAAAGATCTTTGTGGAATGAGCTGTTACCCATTAAACTATGAATGATGGTTTCTTGGTACCATTTTAGGATAGTATTTTCATACTGCATTGATATGCACTCAAACTTGTACACATTCTGCAATAATTTAATAAACAATCTTGATGTTATTTTTTTCCTGTGTGTCCTTCTTATCAGTGAAATTTATTTTCTGAATCCAACCTGACAGAGGGGGCCTCTAGAAAGGCTCATTGGTTTCCAATTCACAACATTAATGCAATGACATCAACTAAAGTATACATCTCTTGATATATCTGTACAAAACTTACTGGTTTGATATCTTCCTAATTAATTTTCAGATGCATATCCTTTATTACAATTGTATGGTGAATATTCCAAGTGCTTACTAAAAGGTGATAATGCAGAAATTTTTTATTAAAGCAGTGAGTCCAGGAACATCTGTGAAGAATAGACGTAGTTGAGAGGAGTAGGAAAATAATTGTTTACGGTAGGAAGTTTGTGGAATTATTTTTTAGTGTGATCTGATGTTGTTTGGAGGAGAGGATTCTTTTTTTCCTACCCAATACTTGGCTTGCTTTTTTATAGGAGCAGACTATCTTGTGTTGCTCCTGTTATTAAATGCTAGTAACGCTAACCACTTGTTTAAGATTTGCCAGGTCTCATGCTAATTATCATGGACGAACTTCACTCTGTTTTGTTCATTATGGAAATCCATCAACTTAGGTTGAAAAGATTGTGGTTTTGTATAAGGCTCTAGTTAAACACAGTGTCTGAAGCTGGAGTCGAAATGTATCTGCAGGACAGGAGATGCTTCTCTGGTTGTGTGGGGCAGGTAGACTTTGAACATTTATGTCCTATGTTGCTTTGATACTTCAAGGATTGGTGTGCTTTGCAGCTGTAGCTGTCTAAAACTGTGTCTGTGAAACTACCCAAAACGATATCCAGATGTACATGAGGAAAATGGATTTGTCTGTCTCTTACCAGGTGACTTCTAATAGTGTTTTATGACTTCTGAGTTTAAATACCTACACAGATACAACTTTTCTTTTTAATCTTTGTTCTTTCAATGTTCAGATTAAATCAAGATACACTTCAGTTTCATTGCTACTAATAAATGTTAGTGTTTAAATGGTTAATGAAATACTGGCACCTGCATTGCACATCACAAAAACATTTTGTAGGAAGTGGCAAAGAGAAAAAATATTACAAGTTTTCAAAAAAGATACCACAAAAGTTGTTGAAAAAATAAGGAAGAGGTAACCTAGAAATAAGCATTTTGCCTGTAGTGACCCCTCCATCTAATTAGCAAAATGAGGTTCATCTCATCTGTCTCTAAGCCCGTAAAGTTATTCAGACCCTTGGTCCCTCCTGATAGTGATCTTTGCATCTCTGGCAGATGACTAAAAGGACCTAGTGCACTGCTGCAGCAGATGAGATTGAATACTTGAATTGTGATCAAAACTTTCATGTTCCTCAGAACTTGTCAAGATACTATCTTCCTTCAGTTGTAAACTTTCATTCCAGATTTATGCTAGCATTGATTATACCGTGCTTTGTCTCTTTTCCCAGGGGAAACAAACCTTTCATTGAACTCTTCATATTCTAAACAGTAATGCTAGCATAAAAAATGAAGTGCTGTGCAGGTGAGGCATTTCTTTTCACTTGGATCTCACAAGTCACAGGTGTGTTTTGTGGAAGTCTGCAGAAATCTGAAACCTGCTGTTAGGGAAAGCTCATCCTGCTGTATTTGATGGCTAAGAGTGGGATATATATGAAAGAGCTCTGTTCTGCTTAGCAAAAAAAAAAAAAGCAATTTTAATTTTCTAAATTTTCCTGTCTGTTTCAAGGAGAAGAGTCTAGAGAGTTTCCTGTAACTTACTGTTTCATTCCTCTGCAGGTATGTGCAATCCTCGCAATTACAGTGACACACCTCCAACATCCAAGAGCACTGTTGAGGAGTTGCATGAACCAATTCCTTCCCTTTTCCGGGCACTGACGGAAGGGGATACTCAGCTGAACTGGAATATCGTTTCCTTCCCTGTGGCAGAAGAACTGTCACACCACGAGAACCTCGTTTCCTTTTTAGAAACAGTGAACCAGCCACAGCATCAGAACGTCTCTGTTCCAAGCAACAATGTCCACACACCTTACTCTAGTGACAAAGGTAATGAGCGTAGTGTCTAAATTCCTAGCGTTTCCTCTCGTCTCTTCCAGGAGCCTTCTTGGTGCATATTCTGTGCTTGTCTGTGCTCGCTTCTTCTTTTCCCATAAAAAAGTGTGAAAAGTTCAGTCTAATTTTGCGTATGATGTAACAAAAGGAGTGAAGCAAACGTATTTAGGAACATGTAAGACGGTGTTAAAGTGTCTGATGATGGTAGGAAACACTGAACCACATGAGTGCGTTATCTTTATATTTCCTCCTGTGGCACAAGGCACTTTGTTGATGTTACTTCATGTACACTAGCGTGGTATGTTCTTCAACTTTGAAGCAGTTACCTGTATCTTAGGGGACAGGACAGACCAAAAACTGAATCCAAATCATGTATCAGTGCAGAGGTAGGCAACTGAAACGCATGGCTTCAAAAGTCTGAGAAAGCCACATGCCATAACCATTGTATCTGGAGTAGATGTTTATTTCTTTCATCTGAGCTGGCATAACTTGAACTCTTTAGAAGGATGGTTTGTAGGAAGACCAGCATTAATAGTAAACCTGAGTAAGATTATCAAGTTCGTTCTTATGTTGAGAAGGGAAATGTGACAGACAATCTTAAAAATAAGCAATTTGGAGGTGAGGGTTCAACTTGTGGACTCATTTCTCTTATTTTAGATCAGTTTTTTTATATTCTTACCTTCAGTTTAGAGGACAGACTTCAGAATATTGTTTGCTAGAGGGGGCAAGAAAGGAGAAGTTTGAGGTAGTGACAACAGTGGCATAAGAAAAATACTATCTGCTTCTTGGTTTCCATATTAAACCTGAAATACTTTTCCCTGCAAATCATTACATCAGACTTAAAAGAATCTCATAAACAGTTCATAGTGAAATTGCTAATTAACAAGGAAAAAAAAGAGCATCTGATTTGTTTTATTAGTGTAATTAATGCTTTGCTTCCTTCCCAACTAACACTTTAAATATTTGTAACTCCATATGTTGCTGTTGTCATGGCTCTTTTATCTTATCAATGAAAGATAGACTAATTGATGGACACGCTGCTTTTCCATACCATTGTGAACCTCTGACCTAGTTACATTTCTGAGCAGGACTGCTGTTGATTAAATGGGACCGTAATGGCAACTTTTCTAATTTCCTTTGGTTAAGGCATGTTAGAAAAATAAATTAATTCCAGAACTGGGAAACCAGATGGTCAGAAAGCATCTCATTCATATGTCTTTGACATTATTAAAACGCTTGCTCGCCCTTGTGAGAATGGTGCAGAAAGCCATGTTAAATGGCAAGCCACAAAAAGCCCTGTGTGCAAACACTACAGTATTTAAAGATGTAAATTATACTTGGGAAAAAAAAATTATGCTTAGGACAATCTTGAATATATCCCACTGTACTTAGGTACTGCAGCCCAGATGGCTGTTCCCTGACAGTCCTTTACCACTATACCAACAGGATGGGCTAATGATAGTTTTGGATTAAACTTGGAATTTGAATTGCATCTCAAGGGTGTGGAGGAGTTTTGAGTTTAACAACACGGACAAATACATAACACTGCAATTTTTTGTTAGTCAAAAGTCTCCTTCATTTCATTTACTAAGAACATATTAGAGATTAGGTTGAGAGAGCTTTCACTGGCATGGTGACAGTCCAAAAACAACAGTTATATATGGAAATAGTTACCAAATGCCACTGGTTTTCAGGCTTCGGCAGACACTATGAACAGAAATAAATGTCAGAGCTGTTCTTGTAATCATTGGCTATGCCTCCTCCATCTTAGTGATCAGTGAACAACTTAAAAAGGTAGAGGATGGTTTTCAACATCCTATTCTTTCAGTATCTAAATATGTAAGCCTGTTGAGGATTCTGTTTCCTTGGTCACAACATAGATAACTTTGTAGTGCTTTGCTTTTCCAGAAGTCATGTTAAAGTTTGCTTATAAAAACATGGATGATTCAAGCATTGAGAACAGAAGAAGGTGGGAAGAAAAGTTGGCTGCTGGCCTTGGTCAGTTGATGTTATGGTGGAAGCAAGGACAACTGGGGAATTGTACCTTTTGTGTTGGATATTGTGTGAGCCATGGGGTGGCATTGTTTTTAATACTTTGATGAGTTCATTGGAGAAGCAGTGACCAAAAGGCGGAGGAGTAGTAGGCCAAAGGCTAAAGAACCTTGTGAGCATGGGCACAGAGAGGGAGCCCAGGAAATTGCTGGAATCTGATGGCTTCTGCCCATGCAAAGTTCAGTCACACAATCAAGTCACTGCGGTTTGACAAACTAGCATGTGTTAGAAGAACGACTGAGAGAGAGGGGATGTGTGTATGTGTGCGTGCTCAGCTGCAGTAAATTGCAGCAGAGCTTGCAGTGGAAGAAACTGAAGGCCATCTCTTTACCCCCCTCCCCAAGCGTGCTGCTGGGCTTAAGGGCAGATCTTGCCAATGGAGATGTACTCAAGGTGACTTGCTAAGCAGTTTTCTTCAAGGCCATGACATTCAGGGATTTGAAAGAATATTCCAGTCAGCAGGAACACAGATGCTTTGTTTTCTTTATGGAGCTGCACCTCCATTTTGTGGTTCTTCTGTGGCTCCTTGCATGCTTTAGTCCATCATGGTGTGCTGGCAGCACCTTACTGCGTTGCGTGTAAAGTGAGAGAGGCTAATGAGAGGTAGATTTTGGTAAGGGGACAGTAGTCTCTGTGCTGTCCTCTGGAATACATCCCAAAATTTGGAAAGGCTCTGTCTACAAATAACCCCTTGTCATGTCATGTAACGCAGTCCTGATTTTAATTTCAACATGTGTTCGTGCAGGGATCGCCGTTAAGCTGGTCGAGGGTGCCAGACTTGCTCGATTGGGTGAGTGCCAGGAAAAGCAGCACCAGCTACAGGAACCCACGAGCTTTGTGCCTGAGTGGCGTGAAGCCACCGGCCCCGGGAGGGCGGCTGTAGATCTGGCAGGAGGTGGGGTGCGGTGGGATATAAAGCATTCCTTTCTCCCCCCAGCCTACTGCAAGCCCAGCCACCAGACCTTGAACTTCCCCGTTATTATCTTAATGAGTGTCTTCCCTTTCCTCCTGTGGATTGACTTCTAACATTTTAGCTGCCAAAATATGCGTGCGCTGCTGAAGCTGCTGTAGTTCTTCCTATCAGTAGTTTCTGGCATTTGAGCCACTACTTTGGAGAGGATCGCAATGATTATTCATCTAGAGCTACATTTATATTTTATTCTTTTTGCTTTACTTTTTGCTGATACCCTCAGATCTCTGATCTGCGAGTTCATGTATTTAAATAAGCTTAATTGTTTCAGATGATGACAGGATGTTGGCGAGAGAGAGAGGGGAACTAGATAATCTTTTGGCAGCTGATGAAGTAAAATCTTGTGGTTAAGGGTTTCTGACTTATACTTCTTAGTGACACAGGGGATGGCGTCTGCTCTGTGCTTCCGCTCCCCTCCAGCGCCCGCCAGGTAGAGCTAGAAATCCAGTAAAGTGGCATCTAGCTTTGTAGGTACTCTAGGAATATTTTTTAAATGTTTTTTTTTATAAGTTCTGATTGGCATAAAATGGTATGGCTGCTGGACAGACAGTTACCTTTTTAAAGTATTTTTAGGGCTACTGATAAACAGAACAGCAGACAACTGAATTTACGTAGAACCTTCAACTTCAGGGGTGGCATACAGGGTCATTAACTGGGAGAGTTTTTTCATCTTACAGATAAGCATTTTTCCTTTACTTACAAGAACTGAATTGTTTTATCTTTTCTGAGTTGCTAAATTCCTCCATAGTGCACCAATAGAGATCTCACTTGCATCACAGGCAGTATCATAGCAAAGCCGCATAGAAATGTGAGTCAATTACTTCTTGTCATTTTGAATTTAGACTTGGTTGTTGTTTCTCCTACACAATCTTCGTTGAGTATGAATTGGGGAGAAAAAAAGGTGAGGAACTCATGTTCTGGAAAAAAAACAAAAATGCTGCTGCATCCTCCTCCCTCCCCACACCTGTATTCTGTTGTCCTTACTGTGTGAAAATTGGCAAAATGCAAATGAAAGGGGATGTTACTTAGTGCAGTAAAAGCTTGGAGCCAAGTGATGACTGTGTAATTAGCTTTGTGAAATAACTGAAATACTCTCCCAGATCCCAACTGAGCCTATAGGTATGTATTTTTCTATCCTGTGTAACTTTTTCTGCAGCCTATAAAGAAAGATCTAATGCTTGAGGCGAGGAATTCTTCTGCTTTTCATAATTCAGCCTCTACACAGGCACACAGACGCTGCTGAGGAGGGGACCAGGAGCGCCCTGTGACGAATAAAGTGCACTCTGGCAAATCTGACTTGTTCAGACCTGGCAAGTCTCCGAGTGAGCAAGACTTCAGAAATGGATTGGTAGCATGTACACGGAGCATGTCCTCCAGCTGCTTACAAGAGCTACTGGGAACCAGCCAAATCTACTGGCTCTGGCCTGCTGTGTATGATCTGTCCTCTCCCCTCCACAGCATTTTTGGGCTGGTCCTCTAGGACCTAATCCTCTTGGCTTGCGTGCAGGTGCAAATAAACTTTCTTCTCTGCTTTCCAGTCAGTCGAGATTAATGTCCTTGGTTGTTGCTGCCACATTAATAAGGTTGAGGTCTAGCTTTGGTTCCCATTTTGGTCCTTGGAGAGTGGTCAAGGAGACCAGTCTCAAAGGACCTGACTTCTGTCATCTGGTTTTGCCAGGGTTATGGGCCTGGTGCTGCTCGTCCTCTGGCCTCCTTCCCCCCAAGAGATGTCTTCAGTCTCTCAGTTCATTGTCATTGATCTTTACATCCCAGAAATCACAGGCTCTTCTTCCACAAGAGGTTTATCTCAAGTTTCAGCAGGCATTAGCTGATGAACTGGACTTCTCCAGGACTTCTGAACTGGTACTAACACATATGCAGCTGTCACAGGTGGAATTAACATGAAAGTGAACACAAATGTTTCGTAACACAGAGGGGATGGGCCACTGGCGTAAAGGCAGCCTGTAAGTGCTGGGAGCAGCTAGCCCACCTCAGACTCTGCACAACTTTCCTGACAAGCTTTCCTGACCTGCTGTATGCTTTCCTTTGCGCGTTGCAAGTTGGAGTGCAGTGATCAACATGGTAGCAGGGCACACGTCTGGCAACCCTTTGGAGAGGACTCTGGTTTCTTTAAAGAGTCATTCCTCTGCTATCTGAGAGAGCCATGAGTCATTTTGACTTCTCAAGCTGATCCAGAGACTAGGTCAGTCAGGTGGAGATGGCATCTCAAAACCTGATTTTGCAGCAAGAAGTCTTTCTGGTTTAGCTAGGATCACATCTTTTGAGGCAGTGGCTCTGTGCCTCTAGCAGACACCTTCTAAGATTGACCTTACCTATGGCATTTAAGGTCAAACTTGAGAAGACGACTACTAAAAAGGTATCAAAGGAGTGAATTGGGATTAAGCAGGAGGGTACAAAGAGTATGAATATTTCGTAGAGTGGCCTGTGTAAGGTTCCTGTGCTTGCACATCAGCACTGAACTGGATGACTGATGGGACGCTCACTGGTGCAGAGATTGATTTCATGAGGAATGCTGCCTGGAGACTCACCTCTATTTTCTCACACCCCACCCTTCCACTGAAAACCTCCTGTGAAGACTGAGGGGGACAGATACCTCAGAATGTCTGGCCCTCCTGGGAGTGGATGGTATGTGCTCCTTCCTGGGACCCTGGCAATCTGAGCTTTTTGTCACTGGTGATGAAATGTTGCAAAGTTCTTGTGCATTCTCCATAAGAAGACGGAGCTGCTGTATGGCATCTGGGTGGATTCTTGCTTTTGAGGCTGTGGTGGCTGCATCTGCATACCACTTTTCAGCTTTGGCTGAGCACTTTAGATATATACCTGACTGGTCACTCTCTGGACATGGTACCATAGCATATGCTTCTGTTTTGCTCTTTTTGTTCCCCTATGTGAATAAAATGTCCTTCCTGAAGCTATAGATACGTTGGCTGATTTTAGGCAGAGGTTTTGTTTTCTCGAGAATTCTCTTCCTCTGGTTGCTGTGCCTCAGGTTTCATTATAAGCGGTCACAGAAATAGAAGTGCCAAGAATTGGACAGGACTTCCACAGCCACAGTGTACCTTGTTGACATTCCCAGCAGTACTTCAGGTACTCCAAGATTTCTTGGACAACTACAGCTTTACTTGCAGCACATCTTTTCTGGGAGCAGAAAACTGCTTCAGCTATGGGTCTGCGTTTTCTCTCCAAGATCCTTATTGCCTGTTGCAGTGTATATGGTGTCTGCAAGATGTGTGGATCAGTTCAAAGCCTGAACAAGGCAGTGAATTCTCTCTTGCTTTCAGTGGGCTAGCAGCATGTCCTGTGACCCTCTTGCAGCTGTTTAGGTAGTAGTAAAATAGTTTGACAGTGGTAAGGGTTCCCTCATAGGCGTTTTAATGATACAAATGATAATTCTTAAAAGGGTAGGCAGGATTTCCAAGTGTGAAGGAGGAGGATGCATCCACAGAAGAGCTGTTGGGTACATGGTGCTCTCCTGTATGTTGTGTTGTCCCATGTCAGGTGCCCAAAAGCACGGGTACCACAGAGATCATCTGTTGTTGGTACTGGGAAAACTGACTACATAGATCTGATGGCTTGTAAGGTGATGGAGACCCTTGCTGGCCTCAGCTCACCTTTGGACCTCACCTTAAGGGCTTGCCATCAGATATGCATACTACTGAGGCTGCTAATGAGGCACCATTTTGAAGGGGTCGTTCTGGTGTACTTCAGCTTCCTAAGACTTGCTCACAGATAAGAGATGAAATAAACAATATGGTTAAAAACTCCACTGCTATGAGAGTCCTTCGGTTACTCACCCTTCTCCGTATCTTTATAATAATGGAAAGAAAAAAACAACCTACTGTCTTGATTTATCATTTACATTTGGATTACAGTTTTCTAATCCATGTTGGCATGTAGGTCAGTATGTTTCTCCTGGATTCATGCACCATAAGTAGTAAAGGCTAGAAAGCTCCTTGACATCTCCTGCTCACAAATCTGTCTGATGTGTGCGAGTGAAACATTTGTGTTTGCAGACAACTTTCAGTTATGCTTTTCTCCAAAGTGTGCGACGCCACTCTGGGGAGTAAACGTGATGCAGTCAAGGTCCTTCAGAGGATGAACAAAGTTACGGTGTAATCACCCAGTTAGCACAGAAGAAAGTTGGTAGAATCTCTCAGTTTGGAGAATTGGAAGTAGCCTGGGGAGGGATGTTTTTGTTTTATAGTTGTGAATGCCTCAGCTCCAGTTTGTGTTGCAGCACCAAAATTCATGGCATTTCAAGTAATGGCATGGATATTAGAAGAATAAAGTTAACACTGAGGCAGAGGGGGTTTCTTAATCTTAGTAGTAAAGCTAGTGGTATTGCTAAAAAAAAGAAGAAAATAGTGTGCAGTTTCAAGTTGAGGAAAATGGGATTCTCTAGCTCAGTGATTTAATGTGGCTGAAGAATATTGTGGAGTTGGGGGAGAGTAGGAAATGTTTACACTTAAGTAAGTGAGTTTTGGTGTTTTTTAAATAACTTCTCTAAGCCTGAAGTTTTTCATGATAGCATATAGTAACTGCTGGCAACTGTGAAAGTGATACCTTGATAGTACCTTCAGAGGACATATGCCTGCTTGTTATTTTGGCTTAGCCTATCCTTACACTTTAGAAGGTATCCCTCACAACTGGGGGACAAAACCCAAAAACATTATTGCTTGTGAACACAGAAATAAATTAAACTAGGAAGAGAGCAGACAACAGGTTGAGTTGTAGACACTGAAAACTTGATAGATTGTACCTTGGCTCTCTGCCTCTTTTCTCTGCTTTCACTATCACCTTTTTCTTCCTTATGCCTCATCGTCATGATGATTTGCAATCCTATTTCAAAAGCTGCACATTTAATTAATTTTTAACTAACATTTAAAAATATTTTAAGACCTTTTAAACCAAATTTTTCCCCCCTCTTGGTTTAGAACACATGTGTACTGTGGTGTATTTTGATGACTGCATGTCAATACATCAGTGCAAGATCTCTTGCGAGTCCATGGGAGCTTCCAAATACCGATGGTTTCACAACGCCTGCTGTGAGTGTATTGGGCCAGAATGCATCGACTATGGCAGTAAAACTGTAAAATGTATGAACTGCATGTTTTGAAGCAGGAAAATTGTAATATAGTAATATTGAGGCCAAAGTAATCTCTCTCAGTTAAAGAGATGGGGATTGCAAATACTGCGTTTTGGTGGAGTGCCTACTGGTTGCAATTAAATGTACCTGGTTGAAAAAAAGATGTATAAAATCTGAATTTTTTTTTTTTTAATTCATGTAAGCAAGACTAACTAGTAGAAGTTTCAAGACTATGTTTTAAGTTTATTTTTATTTTTGCTCAAATGGTACAGCCATGCTCATTCTTGCTGTTCTGATTGCTTTCCTTTGATTTGAAAGTATTGACTATACTGGTTTTCAGAATGTAATACTATATCTTGTAGTTTAGAGTAGGGAAGCCTTAAAGATATGGTATTGAGATTTTCATCATCTAAGTTCAACAAATAATTAAATGGCTGCTAGGTTGGAGGAGGGTGGTTGTTCTTTAGGGGCTGTTTTTTTGGGCTTATTTTCTGGTTTTGTTTTTAAACTTTATTATCTTCCAGTTTTTGAGCTTAGCCTTCTAGTGTGAAAATGGTATTTGCGGAAAAAGAAAAATGAATGCTTTCTCTTCAAGTCCAACACATGGGTTGTCATGGATAAAATCCAAACTTCTTAGAAGGGCTGCCCAAGAAAACAGTATGTATGGGACACTTTTCTTCCAAATTTCATTTGCCCTGCTCTTGTAAGTACATTGGGGCCTATGTTGCATAATTTATATATTAAAAAAAATATATCTTTTCAGTCTTCTCTTAGATACCAAAATAGAGCTGTTAAGTGTAGTTTCATCTCCTTTTGCACTGTTCTCTAGGGTTGCTTGTTCCCTGAACGTTCAGTCCAGTAAAGGAAACATGAAAGGTTATTATGGATTTAATGACTAAATGAATAAAGAAGAATGAAATTGCATGAACTAGCAAGTGGTACAGGGATACCAGTTGAGCAGTTGGCAGCAGGCATGTTCCCATTTAGTAGTTTGCTGTGAATATTTATTCCAAAACATAGTTCGTTATTTTTTTTTCTTTTCCTCCCATGAAATGTTGCCACTGAAGAATGGAAGATGTGTCCGCAAGGGTGAAATGAGGATATTCTGAGTTTAGAACATTGTCCATTTTTCTAAGTAAGCGTTTTAATATGTTGACATTTACATAGCAGTTACAATGACCCAGTTAGGGCTCCACTGATAATGGTACTAAGTACAAGCATAAAGTGTATGAGTAGTTAATGATCAGCTTTTGGTATTTATAATTATGTGGGTTTTAAGTCCTTGAAAATTTTTTTTATGCGTATGCACACACAAAGAAGAATTTGACTCTCACTAACCTCAGTCTAGAGGGATTAAACTGTTTTCTAGTCACACCTGTCTATCTGTACCGTGTACAAATGAAAGCAGTCATTTAAAATTTATTTTGTTGAAAAGTTTGTCTGAATGGTTTTTTGTTTTTTTTTTTGTTTTTTTTTTTTTTTTTCTCATGATACAGTTCTTTCAATAAGATGAAATAATAATAATTAAAAAACCTACTCTTGTGAAATAATGTTACGTTCTTCAGTCTCTTTTTCAGCTATAAAGAAGTACTTGGAAGATGAATGTTTATTGTTTTGAACTAGAAGATAATGGAATACCTTCATGCTTTAAACTTGCAATTAAGTGATAAAAAAAATCATAGATGTGAACAGAAAAACTTAGCTTATGATGAAGGTGGTGTTCTTCCTGTATTTGACAATTCACGTTATCTTCTGCTTTTGTTTCTTAAAAATGAATGGAGAGAAAGACTATGTTAGAGTAGCTGTGACTGTTTTTAGCTGGAAGGTGATGCATCGTTGTTCTTGACCAAGATAGGAGACATCTAGTAAGCATTGCCACAGGTCGTGAGCATGCTTCGCATTCTTGCCATGTTAAATTACTGGAAACATTATGGTAGTTCAGAATCTTCTTGGGGCAAAATCAGGGCTGATGTTTCTGGTCAGGCACCTGCTGCCCCATGAATTTGTGACACTGTCTCCATTTACATCATCGGAATTTCTCTGTGAGGTCAAGTCAAGGGAACAGCAAGGGACGGGACGGGATGGGACTGGCCTAGCCGGTGTCCAGGAACCACATAAAAATGTAAACACAGTTGTCTATAATGGCCTGAGAGTAGGTAGTGAGGATGCACACTTTCTGGGGCTTGTCTTATTTTTTGTAATTCCTGATGCTGTCTAGCATTTGTTGTAAGCGTTGTGTTGTATGCAAATGTCATACAGCAACATCCAGTGTATTTTATTACAATGAGTGTTGTAAGAGGTATTTTAATAAAAAGACATTACTGGTTCATGTGTTTTCTTTCTCAAGATTTTCTCAGGGCAAATGTTACCAGGAAGCATATTATAAAAGTTACCGACCTAGACAGACAGAATAATACAGAGAATGAATACTCCAGCAGTTTTTTTCCAAAACAAAAATTGTAGTTTCAAGGTTTTTTCTTTACATGAGTGAATAAAATAGAAATTTTTTAATAGTCAAAATGTTCCTTCTGATAAATTAACCATTTTGGAATTTTTTATTTAGTTTTACACATTTTGCAAGAAAAATCGTAAATTATTTGGAGGGTTCTTATTTCACCTGCACCTGGATACCAGCAAACCATCACCTACATAAGTGCTTTGGAATACTTAAGAACATGTTTTAAACACTTTTCTGGTTAGGAGTCTCCTCCAGGTAAAGCTTCAGCCATTTTTATCACTGTCCTTTGGAACTGAATTGTAAGTCACTGAACTTAAAGGGAAGCAAAAAAGGGAATTTTATATAAGAAATTATACAAACCCCTCGTCTCTTGGGGTTCTGACTGAGAAGGTGTTAAAGGCGTTCTGTTACTCTTTCTCTAAAAGTAGAGAAGGGTTTTGTGTAGTTGCTTTGGTTTTTGGTTTGAGGTTTTTTTGTTTGTTTTTCCCCGCAGGCACTTGTTGCTCCTAAATTTCAAAACCACTGGCACTGTACAGAGAGAGTGAGTACAATGGCCATAATGTGACGTTGCTTTCCTGTCATTTCTTAGGGTTCTTGGCTTGCTTTTAGTACATTTAATGGATTTCACATCTAATACTTAAAAAATAAAGATAAGAACATCTGCTTGTACCTCTAATAACATATCTGTGTTACCCAGTGTCCATCCCAAAATTACAGCTATTTGGTACCTGGCTCCCAAGCCTCCCACCCTGCTGACTGGCTGCTCTGGCCATCGCACGCTGGCACACAGCCCCACACAACACACACACGCTCCCATCTCTCCAGCCGCGGGCACCCGAGACACACAGGCCCCTGTGACTTGTGGTCCCCTCTCCAGTGGCTGGCACTTACACCTCCACGCACACAGCACTGAGACCCCCTCACCCACTCGGGCTTAATGAGAAGACAAGACAGACCGTGGTGGTGAGGTGCCTGCAGGCATGGCCAGACAAGCATACTGACCGTTTACAGCTGACCAACTCCTTTTACCTTTTTATCCCTCTTTTTCTCCATCTTTGATCCCTCCCTTTCCCTGCCTTTTGTCCTTCTGCTACAAATCCTGTAATAAGTCTTGTGCCATCCCAAAATGCTCTTCCCCTACATCCCAGGAGTCCCATACTCCTGTAGGCAATAACCCCCATAACTCGCAATGATGGTTCTCATGGGACAGCCCTGGGAGGGGCTCGCTTCTTGGGGTACCGTGTTGGGGTTCCCCCACCTGCCACTGTGCCACTGCACTCCTTCAAGCTCATGGAGAGGAGCATTGGTCACATAACCTAACATTCTGATGATCGTAGTGTCTGTTGGGTTTTGCAGAAGAAAAGACCTGCACCAAGATTCACCCCATGCTCTTGGCATGACATCTTTCACCAAGCAGAACATTGTTAAAGTTTGTGCTACTCATATATACACACTTAGATACAAAATGTTGCAAGGAATAAAGCAAATCCTTTTCAGACAAATTTAAGATGTAAGGCTGTCAAGACTCAAGTTTTCTTATATCCTCTTCATTGCGTCAGTATTTTTGAATTTTCTTCTTACTGCAGAGATCTTGGAATGATGTGACTCCACAGTTGTGCTCACGGGATTTGTAAAGGCAGAGTTCAGTGTCCTACAGATCTTTTAGCTCTCTTTTCCTGCTGTGTGGTACTTTTTACAAATGACATACTTTTCCCCCTGAGGGCATTAACTAATCTAGGCTTTCCTTTGTATATTCAGGCTCTCATTGTTCTGCATCTGTGTTTAGGCATGTGGTCAACCAGTTTCTTTCATAAGCTACATCTCTGTGACTGCTGTGTATTCCTTTATTGCTAACAAGAATTATGTAGTGTGTCTAAAGCTATCTCAGAATAGTACAGCTCATGTAGACTCCCATCTCTCCAAGACAAACTCAACCCCAGAACTGGCTTTCGTGTAGTAGTAGTATAGCTGAGAGGGAATGGGAAGGAATTATTCATTCATTAATACAGCTCTGTCTTTTTCCCTTCTGACAAAATACTTTCTAAAGCTCCCCTCCATTATTATTTAATTACCTTTGAGGCTCAGGTACATCAGCAAGGCTGAATTTCAAAGCAGAGAGCTTGCTACCTCAGAATCCTTGCTTGACTTTGTCCTTAAAGCAGTAAGAATTCACAGTGAATGTGGGGCATGGAGGGTGTAAGAAAGTGCCTCAGTCTGTGTAAGTAGGCCTCAGACCACAATAAGTTTTGTAAGTCAGGAGACGTACAAATGTATTTAACAGGCAGTAAATTGGTATAGTCAGCACTGCACACACAATTACTTGTCTTCAAAAAACAGGAGAAGATTCGTTCTGGGTTCATTAGCTGATGGGCCCATTGTGTGTGAACTTCTGTTGGCAACAGCCTCTGATAATACTTCAGAGTTGAGAGCCTCTGGTGACTGTCACTTCAAGTGGAGATCCTCACAGGCAATCATCTCGAATTACTATGGGATGTTACTGAAGTAATCTTCCTCTCTTTTCTTGCCAAAAGTATCACAGCCCTTGTATTAAAAAAAAAAAGAAAAAAAAAAGATAAAACCCAAACCAAAACAAAAACAACAAAACATTAGCTGTGATGTTAAGTTAAATAAACCAGTAAGCCCTTGCAGTTAAACTGTTTCTTATGGAGGGGAGGAGGTAAATTGGAAGCTGGTGTGGTTATGTAATATGTTGTGGAGACAATAACTCTGTGCTCCCAACACTAATCGGAGTGTTTACAACCCTCCCTTTTGTATTTTCTACTGAATAGCACAAATTCCTGTGGGGGACCTTTTACATTACCGCAGGAGGTTGCACAAAGAGCCCATTTGACAGGGACTAAGCAGCATTGAATCTCAAGTGAATAAATGAAACAGGTGGCACGCTGCCACAGTATTAGTGTGTCCAATAGCCCAGGGATTATGTTTGAGGCTGTGGGAATGAATCGGTCTGCTTCTTAGTGAAACAAATTCCCTTGTTGATGAGGAATCCTGAAAAGGATTCAAATTATGCAGGTGCTTAACATAACAGAAACTTGCATTGTAAGAGGCAAAGAATACCACATTCCTTTTAACATCACTGTAAACAGGATGCACGTTGAGATGGAGATGTGTTTCTTGGCAAAGGTCACCTCCAGAGCGTTTCTCCGTTTTCTGGTATTCCACACAGTGGCAGAGGAGCGGGTATCGATGCCAGGTCGGGTCCGTTACGCCAGATGAAGCCGCAGTCGATGCCTGCTCCCGTGCAAGCAGTCAGGAGCAACGTTATTCGGAAGGCAGGCCAGATGCAAACACGTGTGGAGCTGTGTCAGCTCTTGTACCGGCTTACGATGTTTGCTGACTCGCCACCGTTACAAGTTTTATCTCACAACGGGTTTAGCCATCCGCTGCTTTAATCGCTGCTAACGCTTAACGTTTCCTTGTAAATCTACCCAGAAGATCAATCGGGTCGCTACCCGTCTGCCCTCAGCGGCTTCAGGAAACTCTACGAAAGCCATTTTACCGTTTTTTTCCCCGCCGGGAGGTCACTCACTGAAGCACGAGGGCGACGGGGCACCCCACGTTGGGGTTCCCCCCAGGGAGCCCCTTCGCTGCCTGCAGCCGGGCCCAGCTGCCGTCAAGCTCTCCTCGCGCCCGGCCTCCCACATTAACCTCCCTCAGACTAACAGGACCCACCGCCACCCCGGGCCTGGGGACTTAAAAAAAACAGGGGAGCGAGGGAACAGACGAGCGACGCCTCTGGAGTCCTGCGGCGGCGGCGCGCCCGTCGCTGGGAGTTGTAGTCCGGCGGCCTCCCCCACAGAACTACAGCGCCCGTCATGCCGAGCGCGCGGGTGCGGCCTCCGCCCTGCACCGCCCCCTCTCGCCCACACGGCGCTGCGCGCGCGCAGGGCGGTGCTGGCGCGGGGCGGGCTTGGCCGTTGGCGCACGCGCCGGCCGCCCCGACCCCCCACCCCCCCCCAATTCCCCCCCCGAGCCGCCGAGCGAGGCGGCGGCGGCGGCGCTTGCGCCTGCGCGGTGGCGAGCTCGCGCTGCTCCCCGGCCGTCCTTGCGAGCCCGGGCGGCGGAGGCGGTGATGGGGCGCGAGGCGGAGCCCCGTGCGTGAGGCCGAGGCGGAGCCGCTGCGCCGGCGAACGGGACCCAGACGGTCAGTGCCCGCGAGCGGGGAGGGTGTCCGGCCCGGCCCGGCCCGGTCGCTGCCGTTCCCGGTGAGAGGCGCGGAAGCCGCTTCCGGGCTGGCGGGGAGGGGGTGGGGGAATAACGGGCGGCGGGGAGCCGCCCACCGGGCGCCGCTGCCGGGTGGAGGAGGGGCCGGCCCGGGCTGCCCGCAGGCTGAGGGAGGGGAGGAGCCGCTGGGGTCTCCGCCCCCCCCACCCCCCGGGGCGCTGCCGTTCCCCGCGGGGGCGATCGACAGCCCCCGCCGGCGGCGGGGCGACTCGGCCGGCCGGCCGGCCTGCCTGCCTGCCGCGGCGGAGGGGCCAGGCCGCGCGTCCCAGCGGCGACTCCTTGGCCGGGCAGCTCCGGAGGGGGATCCGGCTGGTGTGCTTTGCGTACCGGCCCGGTCGCCCCTCGTGTCCCCGTGGGAGCGGGCGTCAGGCTCCTCCTGCGGCCGCTTTGCTTAAGCGTTTGTGCGCTTTGAATCGTGCGGGGTTCCGTGTAGTTCAGGCTCAGGTTAGAGGTTTTCTGGGCTATGGGTCAGCTTTCTGTGAGGTTGTTTTGTTTTTTTATTCGTTCACCTTCACCTAGAGGTCACATCTTAAAAACCAGAAAACTTAGCTTTATTGTAATTTTTCTGCATCTGGTGTGTTTAACAGGTTCTAAGGGTGCTGTGTTTTCTACCTAATAACAGTG